CTGTCTAGTGACCAGCGTTTGGTAGCATCAATTGAGGCCTGTAAAAGAGAGGCGTCTGTATCCCAGATGGTGACGTCATCGGCGTACAGCGATGACACTGCATCGGGTAGGTAATTTATATAAACAGGGAAAAGAATTGAGCCTAGAACGGATCCTTGGGGAACACCGGTCGTAATTGGGCTGGGCTGTGATGAAAGTTTGTCAACCCGCACAGTAAATGAGCAACTCGAGAGGGATATACGAATATGTGCTAACTAGGGGTCTACAATCCCGTGTACTGCAAGTTTGTGGAAAACAGGGATGTGTGGGACCCTGTCAAAAGCCTTCGCAAAGTCAATGAAAACGGCATGAGAGATGTTGCCGGAATCGTATGCTTTAGTCAGGCTATCCATGACAGTCAGCATATTGGTGATGCATGACCTGCCAGGTAGAAAACCGTGCTGGAAACGAGAGAGGAGGTTATTGGTCCTAAGATGTTTCAGGATTTCGTCTTTTATTAGACGCTCGAAAATTTTGCTGGAGATACTGGCTAGGGAAATGGGACCGTAGCTAACAGGGAAGTGTCTACCGCCTTTTTGGTAGATGAGGCAAATAACAGCTTCTTTCCAGCTTGAGGGAAAGATCCTCTCGTCCACACCGCGTTGGAATAGAACAGTGTACGGGACAGCTAGTAAACCAACTGACTCCATCAGTAACCTGGGGTGTATATTATCAGATCCCATGGAGCAGTACGGATTAATAAGCCGGAGGCTCCTTTCAATCTTATCTTGCGAGAGAAGGATGAAGCCTAGAGATGAATGTGTATCTAGAGGCCGCAGCATAAAGTGATTGAGCACCGGAGGGGAGTTGAATGGTTTCTGGAGGTGTGATCGGAAGTTATCCGCCATCTCTGTTGGGGGTAAGGCAATTGATCTCTCTGGGTTAGTGAAAACTCTGGGGCAGAGGAAGGGCTCATACAGGCTACGGATGTATATAAAGAAGAAAGGCTTACTGTTTCGAGCATTGGTAAGGATAGCTCTCTGGGTGTACCTCTGATGCTCCCGAATATTGTATTGGCAGAGGTTTCTTACTTGTTTAAAAGCATCTCCGTCGGCTGTGAGGCGAGCATTCATTTATTTCGCAAAAAGCTTAGCCATTATGTCTAACAGCCGGTTAATTGGACGAGGAAGAGGGGATTAGCATTAGTCGCAATTTGAATTCGGAGAACGAATTGCGAGTCTGCGAGAAAGATGGCCTGCTTTATGTGCCTGACGAGGCCGTTAACAGATATTTCAAAAGAAATACAGATATGTAGTTGCAAAAATCGGTTTACAGTCTCGAATTTTGTTCCTTTGAAGGAACGAATGCATCGAGTGTTTTTGCTAGACAAATTCCAAGTCGAAAATCAGCGAAACATTGTAACGTTTTCCAAAGGGGGAAAGCTGGTTAGTGACATCAACCTGGAGGCTTCCATTAGTAATGACTAGGTTCAGTGCAGATGGGGTGTCTTTGTCGGAACCTGGTGGAAAAAGACACTTGCTGCGTTCAGGATTTCTCGATTAGGAGATCGGTAAGAAGGTGACCAAAGGAGACGCCTGCCGAGAATATTTTTTGCCAGTCGATGCCTAGGCAATTGAAATCATCTAACTCAAGAAGGTGAGAATACTTTGCAACTTTCCGTGAAAGATCTTAACTGGTTTATCAGAAGCTGATCCTCCAGTAGATTGGATTGTGGTGGGCGATAGACTAGGCACATCAGGAGGTTGATCGTCCTGAAGATCTGAAAACAGATCCACAGACTATCTATAAGATGGATAGGATCAGTGTTTATAAACATTGGAGGGGGAGATAGTGATAAAAATAAATTATGATCCCACCTGATTTTCCGCAGGTGGGGTCTTTTCTAATAAGGGAGCAGACTGGTTCGGTTACTTCGCCGTCGGCGAAGTCCGCAGCGAGCCAGGTTTATGTCAGCATTAATCAGTCTATGTTATTGTCTAGTGTAGGCTGCCTTAATTCTAGAATCTTATTGAGGAGGCTGAGGCAGCTGCAATAAAAGCATTTAAAAATTCGCTTATCTTGAGGCGAAGAGAGGGTAGAAGGAGTTAGAGGGCGTTGGTGGGTTGGATTGGTGGGGGCATAAGGGGGGAATACGGAGTGATTCCATTCGAAGTTTCTGTTGGACACCTACGTGCAGGAAGAACAGGAAGAGGTTTCGCGGACGGGCGAGCTTGATTTGGCCGCCTTTCTGGGGGGCGACCCTCCCGAGCCCGCATCAGAAAAGTTGGTATCTTATTGGGGATGGATACGGAAGTTGGGAGGAAGGGAAGAGCTGTGGAAAGCTTGGTAGGCTTCGGGAGAGTTGGAAGGGTAGTCTTGAGATTCTGGGCACTGGCAACAGGCAGCTAAGGAGACTTCTTCCCCCGTGACTACGTTACGGGATCACCAAGTAGGCCTATTTTGCTCGGAGGGGGGGGTTGATTGCTCTGGGCCGGGTTTGATTTTTGTGTTTTCTGGTCCCGGTGATCATACGTATCAACGTCTTTTCTCTGACATTGATCTCTGCGGGCGCAGAAATTAGACTTGTGTTCGCCGAGCTGCATGCTACTGGCTTGTGGTAGACCACTGTCTCATTTAGGGGGAGAGCTTTGGGCTAGATGGGCTGTGAGTGGGTTAGGTCAGTTTCCAGACGTATGGCCGGGACGGAAGCGCTTCGGAAGAGCTTGGGGTCGTTCGAGGGGTAATGAGGTGCGTCATGCTTTGCAAAAAGGAGCCCAAGGAGCAGGGGTTTATCAGCCGATACCCCTTTGAATCCTTGGTAGGATTGTTTTAGGGATGAAGCTAACGTGATGAGCTTACAGGCTGTAGTAGCGGAGCCCATATCAACCGCGAGGCCGCGGCAAGTTTTTGATTTCTTTGGAATAAGCCACGAGCATTTGCCGGGCTTGAAAACCGTCATGTTCAGATTTTTAAAGATTAGATTTGACATTTCCTGGGGGATAAAAAAAACTCGGGGAATGTCCCCAGGAGACAAATCTTTTCGACGCAGTTCCGTCTGCTTAAAACATTCTTGCTTTATGAGAGATTTGCTCCTCGGAGACTTCGATTGCTTGGTCCGCCGTCGCGCGAACCGACAGCATTTACTTCAGCCTTCAGTTTCTCCAGTTCTAAGGCCTGTTCCTGTATGATACCTAACACTTCGGCTCGCCAAACGGCGTTATCCATGTCCATCATAAATCCATCTAACCTCGGGGGGAAGGTGAGAAGGAGAGAGGTTACATCAGCCATCGAAAGATTGGACGATGTAACAAAACTTTCTTACGGGTCGAAACAAAATAATTGGAGCCGAGTGAGTATAACACTTCAAGAACTACACAAAATGATAGTGAGGTCAAATTTCAAACGTACTGAGTCTCACTTCAGTTCATTTCAGTTCAGTGCGTTTTAGTTCTCACAGGACTATTTGTGACTTTTACCAATCGAGCGACAAGATTCGTGTGTTGTTGGCGAGTTTTCTCGGCGTCCAACACTTCGATATGCAATTTTTCTGAAAGGCAGAACAGTGTGGTAAAGTATCACATCCTTCGTGGTTAGGTTATTGGTGGTACTAGACACTTACCTCAGGGAAAACCGCTTTCCAACACTCATCAAGTGGCTTTTTAAACGCATCTTTAGTAGTAGCAAGTCAAGGTAAGTCAAGAAAAGCTGTGAGCATGCGAACGGTGAATTTTCAGCAGTTTATGATTTTTACAACGGAAAGATAAAACAATTGAAAACAAAAAAGACAATATAAGAAATTCTACACTTTGATAAATGAAAGAAAAATTAGGGCAAGAGTTTTTCCCTTAGGTGAGTGAGAATATTCTGACGATTTAATGGTAAACGAGCTGGATATGGAATTATACTGTTTCGATATGTGGAAGTCTTCGTAAGAAGCAATTGATATTTGGAACGTGTTCGGGGATTCGACAAGGCTTTTGCGACAGTACTGTTGATCACGTGTTATTCTGTCAATGAATGTATCACAAGCGTCAAGATGCTTGGAAATAAAGAAAACAATTAAAACAACTCTATCAATTCCATTGTAGCGGAACAAGAGTTTAAAGGATCTCAAAAAGAAAGATAAGTCTTTTTTCTTCAGTCCAGGGATAAAAATCGGGGAGAAATATAGCTAGTGTGGAAGAATGCAGACAATCACGAATTTAAGAATAAGATTATGTGGTACGGCCAGTTGCTTGAGCCTGTAAGCATCAAAAGACAGTTTTCAGACTTTTGTGGAAACGTTGATAACATGAGCTGACCAGGATAGGTTATGGGTAAGGTTTACACCAAGGTATTTAACAGATTCGGACTTTGGAATAGTTTGATTGTTAACTCTAGAATAAGGGAGATTACTAACTAATGAAAGATAACGGGGACCAGTTTTAAGACTAAATGGAACTTCAATGCACTTACTGATGTTAAGTACAAGGGATCGGGTGACAGACTAATCGTGAAGTTCATTAAGACTGTCCTGGATGGGTTGAAAACTGTCTGAAATAGGGACTGGGCAACCAATCACAATATCATTAGCATACCTAAAAGGAATAAAGTTGGTGGGGATGAGCGGATGTCGTATGAACATAGAAAACAAGAAAGGGGACAAAACGGCACCCTGAAAAACACTGGTTTCAACGTTAAGAGAGGACTGTACACCATTGAGTAAACTAAACTGGGTCCTACGGGAGATGTAACCGATTAGTAGATTCAAGACTTCAGTAGTTAGACCACGCTCAGAAAAGCGTTCAATCAGCAGTCTTCGGTCGAGAGAACCAAAAGCGTTTGTATAGTCAAACGAGCGGTACCAGCGCTATTGTCTAAGACGGAAGCAACAGAATGAACAATATGGGCAACAGCATCAAATGTGGATCCATGGGTTTAATAAGCAAATTGTAAAGGATCATGGGAGTTACACTGGGGTATCATGCGGTACAGCAAAACATTTTCAAAAGCCTTCAGCAAAACAGATATGCAGGCAATAGGACGGTACTTTGACGGTCCTTTCTTTGGGATTGGCCTGATCCGGTCGGACCTCCATTAATTGGGGATCGTTATTGATAACAAAGAAGTACTGAATATTCCGCAATGGATTTCGTAAGCTGGTCGGCGCAGGCTTTCAACAAATGAGGTGTTGATCCATCGGGACTATGAGCCTTATTGGCCTTCAGTCTCCTCAAGACTTGGAGAACCTCGTCCGGAGAAACAGGGTTTATTGCATCATGGGTAGGAAAAGTAGGTGAAAGGGAGCTGGATACAGGTACAAAAGTAAATTGACGCCTAGCCTCATCAAGGTAGTGCTTGTTGATGAAGGCATGAAACACCACTTTCTACAGGGGTGGCGCAAAGCCAAACATATCTTTGCCACCGAGATAAAGTGCCACGAAAGCCGACCGTTAGAGGAGAGAGTGGCCCCAAAGGCGCTCTCTTTCATCAGTAGTGACATTCCGGTGTTAAAAATATCTATTCGGGACCCTGAAAGCAGCATATTGTGTCTATCAATAGAGCTGTAGAATTGTGACAAGCGAATATACTGATTATGGGAGATTTCACTCTCCCGTCCATCGATTTTGCGACGCACAACGTCGCCGATCCATTGGAGTCCATGCAGACTCGCTTCCTAGAGCTATGTACTGAACTAGGACTATTGGAGCATGTGCAACGCCCCACCAGGTGAAATTCCAAAGGAGTCTCATCCATGTTAGATTACGTTCTTACTAATGACCGGCTTCTAGTGGACGATATAGAGATACTGAATCCACCAGGAAAAAGTGACCATGCTACGATCACGTTCATGTGTGCACCAATACAAAGATAGATCAGTTACTCGAAGGGCGGAACTTCTACAGGGTAGATTATGAGGAACTTACCAGAGTTGTAGCAGCACTTCCCTGGATGGAACAACCAGATGAGGCATCAGTTGATGACTTATGGCGTAGAATCCTGAACAATCTACAACTGACAATCCACGACCTAGTTTCTCTGCGCACCGTCAAACCCAAAAATGGAAAAAGAACTTGGCTTAGGAACAGGACTAAGAAGCTGATCAGCTTAAAGCGATCATCATGGAATAGATACCAGCTGACTTGATGACTTCGAGTCTTACAAGAGTCTCAGAAATCGCTGCACCACACTCCAAAGTGCGGACGGAAGGCTCTACCAGCTCCAGCTGTGAGAGAAATTAAAGGAAAATCCCAAATTGCTCTATGGACACATAGCCCACACTAGGTCAGTTACTATTGACAGCAACAAAATAAAACGGGAAATATTGAAAGTTCCTCTAACGTGGAAGCCACGGAAGCCCGAGCAGTGCACTTCGAAACTGTGTTCGAAAAAGACCCACTATAAGTGGAACAACAGCCAGCCGACTTTGCTTCGCTTACTCCAATAGAAGTGCTCTCCGTCATACATTTTGTCAGAGCCACCGTGGAAGCCAAACAGCATAACCTTCGCCCGAACATATTTCCGGGTCCCTATAGTATACCGGCGGTACTTCTCAAAAGCTATGCAGTGGTTCTAAATGCCCCCTTCACACAACTGTTTACGCCATCCATGAACACAGGAAAACTCCCACGTGATTGGAAAGCCAACATGGTAACTCCGATATACAAATCGGGATCCCGCACAAACCCGAAAACAATCGTCCGGTAGCCCTTGTTTCCATAATTTCAAAAGTCATGGAAAGCATAATAGACGATGGAATAACAGAATTTCTTAGACTCTTGAATTTTCTCAATCCACAGCAGCAAGGATTCCGCAAAGGCCGATCATGCTTAACAAGCCTCCCAGCGGCGGAAGACAATGAGACTAAGGAAGCAGACATGGGGAACAGCGTCTGTGTTATATTCCTAGACTTCTTCAAGACCTTCGACAAGGTACCGGGTAGACCAATACAAAGTGATCATTCCTGTTTGAAATTCACGCTACTCATCAGTAGTATAGAAATAAAACCAAGGTTATGTATGTATGCTGTATACTAGAATCTCATTAATGATAATAACAATGATAATGATAATAATAATAATGAATAAAAAAATAATAAACAATAAAAATAATAAAATAGGTATATTAACAAGGGTAAAGTTGACTAATATGACCTAGAAATGCCTCAAAATCATCCGGAAAATGCTGCAGGGAATAGTCATACCACATGCGGTATTGCACCTCGTCAAAATGTTGCCATATCATATCTCCAACAGAGCCGTAAACAGTTTTTATTCTCCGCTTTGTACGGCTCCAAAATGCCTCCACGTTGTTTGTATGCACACCGGTATACGGGTTTATAAATCCGTGTGAATGGTCAACCGTGCGGTGCAAAAAACCCAACGATGCCAGTGATCCGTAGGTCGCCCATTCATCCGAATAAATAGTGGTCCCCGGAGCGACCCACTTTTGAATAATTGGTATCAGCGTGACCGCTGAACGATCATCCACACGTTCAAACTATCCCTTCTTCAGGGACCGGTCCCAAACATCCCAACCACCCACACCGTTGGACGCGGCCTCCCTCTATGATACTTGCTGCGACTCACAACCGTTTCGTCAACTTCCACAATAACACCGACACCGCCCAATTGTGCGGTGAGAGAGCATAACTTCGATAAACAAATATCTCTACAAAACGTGTACCACTGTATGGCAGTCTTATCGGAAACGTTTGCCATTATTGCAGCACGAGTTACCGGTTCTTCCATTATAAAATAAAGAATTAGTTCCAATAAAGAATCCAACGGAAGATTGGAACACTCAAAAAATGTGTCACACCGAATACGACGACGTTTCTTGCATCTAGTGCATCGAAAAACGAAGCCATCGCTGCAATCGGAGAACTCTTGTAAATTCATCCCATGGCCACAAAATCACGTACGGGATGATGGGAGCAACTTTCTGTCCTGCATATATTCCAAAGCAGACAAACCTTCAAAACTATAGGGCAGTTTTTGTAACCGGGATTCACCAGTCATGGCTTCAGGGTCATGAATTAAAAAGAACCCCACAAAAATCATTTTTTGATATGAACTCCATACAAACATCTATATATAATAAAATCAATCACAGATCACAAATGCACCATAAAACGCTAAAAAAACTTTCAAAAAATTCCAAACCAGAAAGTTATGCCAAGGGGCCGTTTTGTACAGGTCCGCCAGGTACCGCATCAAACATTATGCGACAAACCCATCGATTGTGGCATAACGGGAAGTTTAAAAAGCTGACTGACTACTTGAGTGATCGAAGCTATCAGGTGAGGG